TCTGAGCTTTCTTTGTTAAATTTCGACAATATAAGTGTAATAGTCGAGAAATATTTTCTTATACGAGTAGACATCCTTTGATTACCTGTCACATATAGTACATATATATGCGTTACAAGTTATTAACGCAACCGCTGACATGAAAAAATATATCGCGGGAGAGGGTATCACACATCGCCCGGGACAAATTGCTGACCTATTGACACGGGGTACATAGTTCCCAATCCCCAGAGAGCCATAGTAAATAAGAAGGTCACGTGACAAGGCTATGTGCTAGACAACCTTGATGTCTCGTTTTCATGAAATTGTTTTTTTTCTTTTAAAGTCACTCAAGCTCAAAGACAAAAGAATAATTTTATGAAAACGAGACATCAAGGKCTAGTCAGCCTTTTTGGAATAATGTGTATTACTAGATGACAACTAATAGCGGAGCTCAGATAATGATACAGTGATTGTCTCGAGTAATACATAAATCACCAAAACACTCAACAGTTTTTGCACCTGTAGTAAAAAATGATTTTACAGGAGCATAACATTTAATAATATTTGAATTTATTTAGCCAATCATCTTATAATATTTTTTCATCTAAAAAATATTTAAGATCATTTTTATGTCTAAAAATAACGTAAGTTGAGTCTTRTTTTGGTTCGAGTTTTGCGCATCCAAAACAGAAAGAGCACACGAACTAGACAAACTGAACAATATATGTTATGTGTAATTTTTCTGCCTTGTTTTTTGAACAGTCGATAAATATAGTTATGAGCCGATAGACCTCTTAAATGCCACTAAATACTGCCATCATTCTTTAGAGAAACTAAAAAGAAAAACAGCGATGTAATGTCATTGAAAATGAAAGATTTTGCGTTCGTGACAACACAGGCAGCCCAGGCTCTAAATAAAAGCACGAAAGCGGGAGCCCTGTGCCGTTGATCCATGAAAAATATACCATATTTGGCTCAGTCTTGAGCCTCCAGGATTTTGTACACGCCCGACGACTTAAGGCTGAGCCAAGTACCATATCTCCTTTCTACCATCTAATCTAACTTTTGGGATTACATCTCATATATTACTACATTGTAATGTTGTATCATATCATCCATGTACCATGACAATGTTGTATGATATCATCCATGTACCATGACAATGTTGTATGATGCAGTACTGACCTGAGACATGTTTTGTTTCTCGTACAAGTCAACTGTTTGGAAAATATCAGTTTTTGGCACACCAATACTGTCACAAAATTCCAAAAATTTTCCAATATTTTCCATCTAAATCAAACAGACAAATATTACATTAGTTTGTTAACAAACATGTACGCTGTACTGATAACTGAAACTTTATCTCTAAACAGACAGTTTAGCCACCAGCCCCTTCCTCCCTCCCTACCATGAAACCAATATCATTGTCAAATATGACTCATATCTTATTGTCAAATATAACTCATATCTAATCAAAAAGGCACATGCTGAACCTCAAAAAGCTGGAAATCTTACTATTGTAACACATACCATTTTGAATGCCATCTTACTCTGGTTGAATTTAATATTACCACCAAGTGCATTGGCCAACCTACAAAGTATGACACCATCCKTCAACTTTGCATGGAAGTCATYCTGAYCAGGTCCTCCAGCCATGTCATTTCCCCCCAAAACTGCATYCATCCATGCCCTTGCTTGCGCTTCAAGCTCTGGATCATACTTTGCATCTTTCTAGAATTAGAACAGAAATTCATGGCTCAATACWTATTCAATCTCTACATGCATAGCTGCCAACTCTACCCATCTGATTACCACATGAATTTGTTATGTTATTCAGGTTTAGATTCACAAAGATGGATCTGTTGTACTACTTTCATATATAGTTGTGCATGTACTGTACACATATTTATATAAAGAAGAAAATTTTCAATGACTTAAACTTAAAGCATAAAGATCCAAACCATCACTATGCATTCCTATATTTTCCCTAAATCTAACCATTAAGCTTAATGAATTCAATTTGCTTGAGTGAACCTGAATTTTTTTGATACTGAATGRGAACAACCGCTGAGCATACTTTTGGTTTGCAAATCTGGACCAAGTAGGGAGGCCTAAAAATATTTGGAATTTTAGATTCTTGGATATGTAATTTCCAGCATGATGAGACACATTTTATGCAGCGATTGAATCTAAGAAAATATTACTKGACAATGCCATTAAAGCTATTATTATAGCTGGTCAGGAAAAAATTATTGCTCCTCTGCTCTGGTCCCTGTTTATGCAACGGTATTCATGAATAACCACAGCTTTATACAACTGAATAGGATGAGTTTGCAGTATAGAAGATGAATACCCCAAGGACAGAGCCAGCCAAAAAGATTAGTTCACAACAGTCTCTCTGGTTCAAAGATTTTTCAAAAAACAAAAGAAAGGTTAAAAAAATCTTGTCATTACAATATCTCTGAGCCAAAGCCTGCATTACTAGAAGACGTAAAAACTCTTTGTAAAATACAGCTGCTCAGAATTTCTAGGGCTATTGTATTAACTATGAAAACTGCATTTCAAAAAACATGGCCTTGGATAAACTCTTATTCCTTATTTTCATAGAAAGTATGCCTTTAAATTGCTAAAACTTTAAAGAACTTTTGTGAGGGTGCAAAACATTTCATAATGCCCTTTGTCCAGTGCATCTAACTTTTCATTCACTATTACAATTGTATTATTTAGGAAAACAAGTATTTCTTGCAATCAGTCTGAACAAAACAGACTAGTTGACTTAAGACATCTGTAGTAGGGTGTACAATTAAAGATTTTGACRTAATGAGTGCAAACAATACCAAAAAAGGACAATTATATATTTTATTTATAAACCTCAAACATTCTTAATATAATGATCTAGAAGGCTCTAGACGGCGGAAATGCGTCGTTGCACGCTACAATCATGAATCACATCGTCTGGAACAGGCCATCAACACACTTCACGCAAAAATATCTTCCGGTATTTTAGTAATGCAAGAACAAAAGAATCCAGAAGAGCCCCACACGTCACATGAATTGAATTTGGGAGCGAAGGGAACTCGGAAATTATGACAAATTCAATCACCATTGTCATTGAAAAAGTGACTAGTCTACCATGTAAAACCATGTAATTCTTCTCGATTAAAGCGTTGGTTTCGGAAAAGAAATATAGATAATAACAGCTTTTTTAAGACTTACACGCAGAATAGCTATTGTAAAGACTAATTTAAGACTTAATGAATTCTATAATTACCGAGGAATACTAATACCAGTAATACGGTACACTGCAGGAGGGCTTAATCCAGCTTTGATCATTGTTTTACCGTATTTTACACAAACTAATTGTCGAGGTATAAAAAACAACACTTTAGATAATGTGGCACTTATCGAAAGCGAAAAATTTCCAAATTGCGTGAAGCGTCGACTGAATATGCAAATTCTATACTTGCAATATCAATATTTAACACACAGCATATGTGAATATTAAATACATTTTAGCTAATCTCGTTTAACCAAACGATCACTTTAGTTCAGCCACATTCCAACAATTCACGGTCACCTTTAACACTTGCAAGTTTTCAATAGTTTACACTAGAAGATGCATAGTTTTAAACGAAAATTTTAGATGCCGAGAAGAGTTTTCTGTTCCATTGAAGGCCATTGAGCTGGCAAAAAGACAAATGATCGCGGTGTAAACGCTGAAGTCGACACTGAGTTAACGCTGTTGGTGTCGTGGCCGCTCAGGAAATTACGATAGATAGAATGCATCATTCAAATTGGTACATGTTGAAACAAGATGACTTTGAAACTCTCGATTAATCGATGGAAAGTAGACTGTAATTGCGAGAAGGTGTAAAATTACAACAAGAAACAACATAATAAACTTCACATAAACAATCAACAAGTTGTAGAAGCTACAGCCCACTGTACAGTCTACTGCAAATCTYTGAARGGTTCAAAGAATGTCCAAGTGCATGAAAGTGATACTTCTAAAAGTGTTGACGAGGGAGGAGGTCTCAACTCAAGTATGATGACTAATTCTCACCTTCCTTTGGAGTTCTGCAGTCATACCGAAGCCCTTYGGTCTTGAAGCCATTGTAAATTACAAGTTATTGTAGAATTACAACAAGTGTTCTTGAGTCTAGGCACGYTGTCCACTGTACGASGMTGTGAGGYGAGTGAAGATCGTACGATTGTTCCACCCCCTTGTTATTTGTGTCACGTCATCGAGACACGTGATTGCGTGACATATTGTGAYTATCAAAGTTGTTTTCTTCTACTAGTAAATTTACAATAGTCGCTGCTCTAGTATTTGAATTTGTAACAGTCGCCTGTTTAGAATGGTTTTCAAGGTCTCGTATACATAATTGCGTTTTTGTGTTGAGTTTTTATCCATTTTTACTCCCATTNGGCGGGGGTGCTCGGCGGAAATTATGAAAATGACCCCTAAGAGGGACCTGTGTTTGGAGATGATGGGCGTGGCAGTGCTGAAATTTCACCCCTAAAGGGGACCAAACAATAACAGGTCATTTTGTTTTAGTTGAATGCAGCACCTACCTTTCATAGGAAATATGACAGCTTAGGGACGTCATATACCCTAAAAAGGACCACAAAACTCAGTTGGGGGGAATTCTCATCATTATGACCCTAAGCGGGACCAAAATACCGATTTCAAACCCTAAAAGGGACGCCGAGGACCCCGACACGGGGGCGTGCTGTTGATAGTCGTGATAGGTAACAAGAAGTCCAGATATACCTTAGCTTCGATATTGATTTTCCTCTTCGTTTTGCCGTTGTCATGAAATATTTTATACATTTTCTCATTGGAACTTATTGAATTTAACAATATTTGTTGTGCAATTTCTTAGAAGTTAAAATCTGTCAGCCACGCTCTTATTAAAAGACTTGCGAAAATTGTTCAAAAGAAATGGTGGGAAAGAGAGGTCCATCACTTGTTTCACTTTGCTCAGCTATATTTCTTTAGTTTTTGTGAATAGAAAATAATTTACATGCTGCGCTCGCGTCGATCAGTATCGATCTTGTGCCCATACGCAATTACTTTACTACAATACACCAAGTAATGTATATTGTTTATTGCTCAAAGTGTTTATTGTACTGTTTTGTTCTAGTTGAGTGATATCAACCAAAWGGTCACTAAATTGCATCTTTTATGTKGYAAAAATTTTGTTTTCAATTGTTAAATACCATAACTTTATTACAATATAGCTGCTAATGAAACTAAATCTGAAAAGACAAATTAAATTTTTTTTGCAAGAAATATCTTGGTTGTTATTGTTACATGCGCTATCAAGGATTGTACATATCTACATCTACTTTAAGAGACTTTTTCTAAGTATGTACTAAAATCCACTAGAAAACATGGGAATAGAATACAAGCCATAATGATCGTATAAACAATACAAAAAAGTTCGAAAAAAGTTTTGAATGGGCTCCCTGTGTGTTTCAGTGTTGACAAGTTGCTAGCTTTGTGTAAATTGATACACTTTCGTTACATGGGATACGTTGCATGTATTTATGGAGAGCAGTATATTCGTATCTACTCCAAACTAGAATCGATTTCTTCATTTAGCATGTTTTGAGTAAGTTTTGTTCTGATAAACTTTGCTTTTGACGAACTTTAAGGTCCAATTATGCCCAATTTTAAGCAACTTTGGCGTCACGTAGCGTCGCGTACAAACATTTGCCCAAAGAAAACTTTACATTGTTTGAAAGATCTGTCTTTGGAGACTCTGTATTCGAAGTTTGAAGGACTTTGAAGGTTAAGCAATTGTGCTATTGATATTTTTGTAAGGTATACTTTTTCTAGACAAAAATATCGTCTTCGAAAATAAAATTATTTCGGTACGAAATAAACGCCGTACCGGGCTGAAAAGCAAGCACAGAGTAAAGAAAACATTGCGTTACAATGATCCAAAGTTAGTTTTGTGCTTGCATTACTCAAATTGACATAGCGAGCTCACAAAGTGGGACCAAAATTTGCCTTGAAATCTACAATTTTCGGTGCCCTCAACTAATTTGCATATATCTCCCCCAAAACACGATATTCAGCCAAACTAACTACACAGCGTTTATAGGGACACTCTACCCTATCAATAGTATAAGTATGAGCGAAATCGATTTTTCAAGGTTTGCC